CATGAGGTTGGGGTCTTGTACTCTGACTCAGCGTACTTAACAGCGCGCATTTGCTTGGTGCGATATTGTTTAACTTCGATGGACTGCGTTGCGTACTGTACCGAGCAACAATATGTTTAAACAGTGAAGTATCGCACATGGTTTTCGGCGACCCTCGGTTCCAGTCTCCGGTTCAGACGGATACTGGGGCAGCCTACACCCTTTACCTCACCACACGACGCAAAGAAAAGAGAGGAGAGGGGCATGTAGCGACATGGATCCAGGATCTTGTGCTCCCCTTCATCCTAAATCCACTTGGGGATCGGTCTGCTTCAGGAGGAGCAAGAACGGGGGGCGGGGGCATTAGAAGAGGTTTGCGAGGAGGAAAGGGTGGAGCGAAAGGGAATCGTGCCAAATGCCTTCTCCTCACCTGTCTCAAACGTCAGGTTCGATCTCGTTCGGAGCGTATCATTCCGTCAGACTCCCTCAATCTCCACCCCCTTCCTCCCACTTTTCCTCTCTCTGTCACACTCGCACATGCCTATCACCTTGTTGGACCCTTGCTGTATTTCTCATATATCCCCCTCCACCACCTGTCCGGCCCTAGCCTCAGGCCGTCTTTCTCGACGAGTTTCTGTCACTCCATTTTTCTCCTCCATTTCTTCTCCTCCGTCTCCTCTCCTGTCTCTTTCTTACTTGTCTCTTCTTCTTGGCAGGCCTACTTCAAAAATTAAAAGATTATTTTTTGAAGCGTCGTCATTTGTTGCTGCACACGTTAAGTTATGCGACCTAAAACATGCTGCGAGAGAGGGAGAAAGACAGAGGAAGAAGAGGGAGGATTGAAGGGGAAGGGAGGGTGGGGGCGCCAAGGGACTCGATCCTCAATCCCCATTTCGCCTCATTACCCGCAAAGTAACCCATCCTTTTCGGTCAATAACGGTGGACAGAGACCCCCTGAGCCTCCAGCGAAACCCTTAGCCCTTCCAGCCCACCCCGCCCCGCCCAACCCCACCGAGTCCCACCACGCCCCGCCGGGCCCTGGCTCGCCCGTACGATACACCCGCCACCCCCGCACTCCATGGCACTCAGGGGGGTCCGAGGGCCATCAATAACTTAACGCCGTTTTCCCGCGACTTTGGCACGGGGCCCAATGCCTCTTCATCACCGCATGCGTTGCACACTGTTGTGTGCAGTTCAACAAGTTGGAGACCTACTGATTGATAACGTGAAGGGTCGTGTGGGAGATACACGGGAGGTCCAGGGGGCGCATTGTGTCTGCTTTTAGACATTCAATTATGACCCCCGCTGGTTTGCATTCCAGCTAGCACATTGTATTTTGTTGTATTTTGGAATGTTGTCACTTTTTAAATTCCCTTGCTTCCGCTTTTCACAGGGCTCGTTTAATTTTCTCCTCGTTTTCCCTCTTTTCAGAACGACACGGTGCGAATGCTGTACGCCTATCACGACCGCGACCTGACGGGGTCTGGGTCGGAGCCGCTGCCCTACCACGGGTCGCAGCGCGGTTCGCGCTCCGTGTTCCTGCTCGAGAGGGTCCCGAAGGAGGACCCCCTGCCGAGGGACACGCTCGTCTGGGACCTGCGGAACCCACAGGTGAGTTTTGTAGCGCAGTGCACGAAATTGTGATGTATTTTGAGCTTTCACCGACAGGTTGCTTCTTTCGTTCTTTGACGGTAAAAGGTGTCGTTCTTTGAGGGAGAGTGTTGTGGCAGTAAAAGGGGGAAGCGAGTTCTGTCTGTATCCTTAGAACGAATTATTCAGAGCAGCTCCCTGTGAGGCGATGCAATTACCAGGCGAGCAACACAAGCCACATTTTAAATCGCTCCGCGGAGCCGCAGTCTAGGAATGATTTAGTTGATTTGATTGGGAGGGAGGCAAGTTCTGCCGCGCTTCCGTCCGACTGTTGTGGTCCAAAACAGACAGAGAGAGCCGGCAACTTTTCCCTTCCCTCGCGTTTCGCCCCGTCCCGCATCTTTGCCGAATAAACTCCCACTAGTTTTCCGTTTGTTTGCCTCCGAAATAACAGAGAGAGGAGAGAGAGAGTGGGAAAGGGACGGGAAGGGAGCAGCCCTTTAATATTGCTCTTTGTGGAGAGTTGTTGGCTTATTTATTTATTCCCGTTTGGCGCTGGGGGTTGAGCGCGGTCAGACACACGTCCTCTGTTATCGTATCACATCCTGCCCCTTGCTGTCCAATGAGAGCAGAATGTGTGCAATACGACACTTCTTGTGCACATCAAGTTGCTAAACTCCTGTCAAAACAGTGCTGCATTCCTCATGACCCGCACAGGCGGTGTACTATAAGGTTTGTCGAATTGTAATATCCCTTCGTCCCCCAGGCAGTCGTGCCCCACCAAGCCAAGCCGAGCAGGCCAGTTCCTCCCCCTTCCAGCAGTCAAATAACCGGGCAGGCTCCGCAGGCTCGAGTGTGCATCCGATACAGTGGGGCTCCCCGGGGCCTCCTCCGGGCGTGGGGCCGCGGGCCGGGCGGCAGTGCGGGTGGCAGCGCGGCGCCCCCGAGACCAGGGTGCAAATTAATTTGTATGCTAATAGGCGAGACAGTTTTCTCGACCACGAGGCGCACAAATATATATATAAGTTGTTCTCTCCGTCCCTTCCCACTTTGAAGGGTTGTGTCCCTGTCTGCCCTACTGCGATGCATGCATATTCACCAACGTCCGCATTTCGTGGACGAATACGTCGCCATCCATCCATCCATCCATCCATCGACCCCCCCCCCCCCCCCCCCCCCAACCATCATCCCCACATCCACCCGTCCACCCGTCCGTCCGTCCGTCCGTCCGACCATATCCATACAGCTAGCAAGGGGCAGTGGGGCGGAATTCTGCCCACCTATGCACACACACACACACACACACACACACACACACACACACAGCGCCCGTATAGGCATTCCCCAGAGGCCCCCCTGAGCCCGGCTGACGCAGGGCAGGACGCCTCTCCTCCACGTCGATATGATTGGCTGGAGGCGTGGGGACGTGATTTGTTTGTCACTTGTTTACACGCGAAAGGGTTCGAGATTCAACATGGCTCGAACTAGGCTTATAACCGCAGGCTCTTGGCGAATCATAACCTGATGTATTTCCTAGAGGAAAATGAGTTGGTTGTGAGGTATTTAACTTTTGAAAAACAAGTGTGTACAAGTACGGGACAGGTCTGCACTGGTGCAGTTTTTACTGAAAACCCCTTATATATGGTATGGGTTACTTAGGGTGACAAAAGTATGGAAGATAGATATTCTCTTAGTACTCCGTACTTGGAAACATTTTGTTTTCCTAGAGCAGACCAAGTGGGAGGGGGCGCGGAAACCTTTCTTTCTTTTTAAACAGAATTCTCTTCATTTCATCGACGTCGACACGCTGTGCCGCCGAGTTGAAGGCAACGCTCAGATAAACGCCGGGGGCGACTGACTATTGACTCGGCCCGACTTGCCAGTGTTTGTTCTCGATAGCGGTATGCATGGCTGGGCTGCGCTGGGACCCCTGCCCTTGCCCCCTCCCCCCCCCCCTCCCATCCCCATCCCCGGCCCCCCGGCGGTGGACTCTGGAGGGCTACAGAAGGGTTAGCCTGCCAAGATGTGCCCGCTTGACATGTGAAGGCCGTTCCTCTCTCGCGTCGCGGCGCCGCCGGTCGAGCTGAGCCGAGGAGTCCTCCTCTCTGGAGAACGGGGAAAAAATTAACTCGAACCGACTTGTTCGTTGCGCGAAAGTAATCCCCCTCGACCGTTTTCGTTTTTCTCTCTTCCTCCCCCGCTATCCCTCGCCTTCTTTCGCCTACTAATTTAGCCCGTGTAGACTTAGCGTTGCAGATACGCCCCGCCGCCTTTGAAATTCGTTTTTTCCCCCTCTCTGTACTTTCGCGCCGACCACATGTGAGGAGGGGGCGGAGGAGGGTCCCTATCCGGCCGCCCCGCCCGAGTTGGGTCCTTTGATCCGGAAAGAGGTGCGATCTTCAAAAGGGCGGCTTATAACTCGATTTGGCTGCCCCCGATGCCGGGGCGACCGAGCTGGCCCGCGCGGTCACTCCTCGGTGCACGTTATTGGTCTTGGCCTTTTGGCCGACCCTTAGCCCTCCACGGCCGGTAACGGCATCCCACTCTCATGCGAATTAGGTGGCGTTTGGCTGCGAGGGGCGCCTCGCGGCGGGGCGGGGTAGTCCGGGACAAGGGGGCCCAGATGAAGTCCTGGAGGAGAACTCAAGGAGAGGGACTCACTTGGAGGGCAAGTACTAAAAATGAAAATAAAATGTGAATGACCCATGATAGCTTTTGTAGAAGAGCGTAGGTTTGCGTCAATTCAAAGTGAAATATCTGAGATTAGATGGAAACGTTCGATCAGCTGTTCGTGGTGATCCTCCGTGTGGCCCTCCGCGCGGCTCTCTGCCACTCTCTGCGCCCTGAGCGCTCGCGGTGGCGCCAATTACTCTTTGGCTTCACGTGGCTACGAAAGGGCGGAGCGGCAAGACGGGGGGGGGGGGGGGGGGGAAACACCGGCACAATCGGCAAGACTCTGCGTGTGTGTGTGTGTGTGTGTGACGGCGCCATGTGTGCCTGCCTGTGCGTATGTTCTGGGAGCAGCCCTAATGACAGAAGCGCTACTCTGCATATCTTACACTTCCTCTCTCTCTCTCTGTCTCCTCCCTCCGCCCCCTCCTGATGTGCCTACCCTGTCCTTTGTTTTTTCACCCACCACCTCCTCCTCTCGTCCTTGCCGCGGCTGCCTCCGAAAGCCTTTTGCCCGCCCGTCCTTTAGGAGACGTGGAGAGGGCGGGCACCCACCGCGGACGCGGCCACTCTGCCCCGGAGCGCTCGGGCGGCGTAGCGCGGCGCATTTTCGGTTGGCTGCACCGTATATGAAGCCAGCCCCTTTCTACTGCACCCCTTAACTAAACCAACCCTCCGCGTCGCTTCAAATTCCGCGGCGCTTATTTGGCCGGGGCCTCCCTTAAATTCGGCCCAACTCACTCTGCGCACGCACCCCTTGCCTAACTATTTGCTAAAATTTGTGAAATTTTCTAGAAAAAAGTATAACGCTATAGTCTCTGCTCGGAGTTCAAAAGGAAGTAGTGGAAACGTGTTCCTGGGTATCTTTCTGAATCAAGTAGTTGGACTCGTTTCCGGTCTGGAGTGGGCGCTTCTGCCTCTGCACGCATCTGCGGCTCAGGTAAATCATATCCTCCCACCCCCTCCCCCATCCCTCTTTACTCTGATCATCTCCATTAACTATCTTGACTACATGACTTACTTTCTTCTCCCCCTCTGCTCCGATCCTCCTCCTTCTTCTTGCTGCTGATTTATCTGCATTCGCCCGCCGCCTCGCTCAACCCTCTCCTGCCGATCCCTCTAGGGCGCCTCCAGGGCCTCCAGGAGCCCGCGGGCCCGTCACTCACTTCCCCCGCCCACCTCTTTTACTTTAATTTAAGGCGATTGCAGGTAATGGGCCGAGTAAAGCCGCAGCGCCTGGTACACTGGGGACACGACAAGCAAAGGATGGAGGGAAAACGTTTCTTTTGCATGGGAGAGAGGTAAAGAACGTTTGTTTTTTTCAGGGAGGAGGAGGGTTGTAGATAGATTGGGACCTTAGGGGTAAAACACTTGACAACCTGTTAAATATCCACCTGTCGGGAGCTATAAGCTGACTTATTCATGAACAACTTCGTTACTCCGAGTTTTGGGTCGCGCGGAACGTCACGGGAGGGCTATCAATAGGAACCTTCTAGGAGAGAGAGAGAGAGGGGGGTGGGCGTCGGAGAGGTTAGCTGAACGGGGTGGTAGAGACGGAGACCAGCCTGCAGCGGGTGCGCGGCTGTTGCGCCCTAAGGC